TGGAAGCTTCTGCATGAGTAACACTGTGCAGAGGGAGATGCCTATAGTCAACCTGGCTTTGGGTCAAGCCCACAGTCCCAGTAACCAAATCATGTCTCTGGACCTCAGGCTTATCTATACAGGGAGTACAGATTACTTCAACTCTGCAGTCTGGCAATGAAACATTGAATAAGATAAACTTGAGGGAAGCAGTTACTTCTGCCTCATAAGTCCCCCAAGAGGAATTTTAGGGAATAATTGACAAGTGTCCATTTTCTTCACTTACAGTTCAAGTGTCTCATCTCTTCAGATTTGTGCTCCCGCAGGGTCACATACACAGCCCTGTTTAGTATACCTTGTGACAGCTCAGTTGGAGTAAAACTGGAATAACTGTAGCACAGTTCTAAGCAGTGGGCACCCCTGCTTGCTATAAGAATACAGCTTTATGACTTTCCCCACCAACAACCAGTGGTGCATCTACAGAACGTCCCATCCACTACTCCAAAAAACCTTAAATTTGTGATTCTCCACATTTCACCAAAAACACAGTGAAACAGTGGGCCGCCCATGCTCTGGCACTCTGGGAAGATGGCAAGAGGCCGGTGTCCCCCAGCCTCCCCAAAGCTGGGTTGTATTCTCATGAGCTCTGCATCCTTTCTCCCTCCTCACTTGGCCTCTTTATTTCCTCCTGATTGCTTTTTGGCACTGAATGTTGTTTCTGCTCTTGACATTGATTATATCTGTAAATGGTCAGTGCCTGGAGAGTGTTATTTGGCAGCCAGCTCTGAATAGCGCCCAGCAGGTAGTGTCTACCTTTCATCACCCTCAGGGAAATTGTCATGGAAGGCCCAGTGATGGGAGATTGCATACGAGCCTGCTGTGCAGGGCCTCACCCTACCCCAGAGAGGCCACTTTGGAAAAAACCACATGGGCCTCAAACACAGCAGCACATGAGGGGGGGACCTTCCCTGTGACTCAGACTTTTTTTTGCAGCATGGTGTGAACTGGTCACTGCAAGAAGGAAGAGTTCAGGCCTGCACTCCCAGGGATACAGCAGTGCCTGTGCCTTGACCTGCTTACACAATGGAGGGGCAGGGCCCAGTGCTGTGAGCTCTCCCTAGCCTCACACCACCTCAGGCCAGCGACCTCAGGCCGGTGAAAACTAACCCAGGCTGTCACCCCTTAAAGGGCTTTCGTACATTTCCTGTGAAATACCTCTTCCTAATGGGGAAACTCCCTAGGGGAATCCACACATGCTCAGTGAATCTGAGATCATAAATGAGTTCCCATGGGCTGTCCCCAGAGATGCTGCATCCTCTCCATCCTGCATCCGGCAGAGAGTCTAAGATAAGGAATATCCACCCTCAGAAGTGTCTAAAATCTCATGGAGCTCTGCCTCTGTGTAATTCTGTGTTGGTCTTGTTCTGTCTAACCCAAGAATCTTCATGTTCTCTCTCTCTGAAGTTCAGATAGGTTACTGTGTAGAAGAAAGCAGAAAGAAGCTGAGGGATCAGTCCTTACCAGGGCCAGGGCAACTCTATGGCTCAAAAGCCAGGTGGGAAATAACTTCCTCTCCCCTGGCGCCTGGAAGGAGACTCAGTGACCAGGGCCACAGCTGCAAGGAGAGATGGCTCAGTGTGTGCTGCCTTTGAGTAAACGCAGGTTTTGGGCTCTACTTGCTGCACTTGGGTTTTCTTAAACCCCATCCTCACTCCCCCAACCCCAGTGCTTCCCCAGCAGCAGTGAGGAGCAAAGTCTAGAGTAGAGGCTGCAGACTAGAGATCTGTGGGCCAGGCTTGATTCGAAGGTATGGAACTCATGGGCAGTCCGCTAGAGCTGAGCAGCAGCCGCCTAATTGAGGCAAGATGTATTCAGTAAACAGGGAAATTGGGAATAGTGCCCCAAGAGACACTGTCCGTGGGTGGTGAGAATGCCCCACACGGTGACAGTGGGAGGACAGTGGGAGAATTGGGGCCTCAGAGGAGGCCTGCTTGGACCTGGATGAATGTTCATAAGGGTTGGCAAAAAGAGGCAGTTGTTTGCCTCCACACTCTGCCTCAAGGCCATGAGTCATTCTTGCTCCTACCAGAGCCCTGTGGTCCAGGATGCCACGTCATAGCCAGCAGGTCTCTGCCTGCCCTGCCGGAAGGGACACACGTGCACATGTCCTCTAAGCTCTAGGTGGCATCACATCAGCGCTGTGGTGCAAGAATCGAGTCTTTTCAAATAGATGATGCCGATTTCAGGAGAGCGCTGGTATAAACAGCACAACATTCAACGTGGGCCTGGGAGTTGGGAACCCAGTGACCTCAAGATCCAACACCCCCAGGCCCAGCAGACACATGAGTGAGAACTGAGACTCCAGTGTGTTTTGTGACTTGAACTCAGAATTTGCCAAGAAAAGAGTATTCTGTACTCCTTTCATTTTACCCTTGAGAGAGTAAGAAGCAGTGAAAGTTAAAGAAATAAAAATAAGTTCAGGAAGATCCTTAAATCCTGAAAGTGACAAATAAGAGCTACCCATATTGCATAACAAACCAAGACGCCCAGCTCTTTGGTACCTGTAAACGCAGGCCCATTACCTCACTCCATAGCACACGAGAAAGATTTAGGATAAGCAGGATAGAGAGGGTGTTGAGGTACCATTTAGTAAGCTTAAAAACGAAGCCCCCCCCCGTCACGCCCCCATTCTTTGTCCAGCAAACAGGTTTGGGAAGCTTGAATATATAAGGGGTTGGATATGGCTGCCACTGGAACCAGACTGCAAGACAGCTACTATGCCTGAACTAACCAGCCCAGCTCCAGGAATGCAGAAGGAGGGCCAGGGCACATTCTGTGTCAAAGGCTGGTGCCTAAAACCAGACATCCCAGCAGCTAACTGGTGCAAACTGGCACCCCAAGCTGGAAAGTCAAAGAAAGCAGAGCAAAATGGCCTCAATCCTTGGCAAGCAGACCTCTCCTCTCTTGCCCCCTGCCTCCTTGCACAGTATTTCAGCCAATCCACCTTCTCTGTTCTCCGCTCTGCCTCTGGTGATTCTGTCACCCCTGCACCTCTGGCCTCATCCTGATATTGTACTGCCACAGACAGTAACTGGGTTAAAACATTTTTTAAAATCTGAAATTCAGTCCAAAGAAATAAAATAAAACAGTCCCCTGGGACATAGCTTCAAAGGGAAGGCAGATCCCTCAGGGATGCTGAGAACCACCGTCAAAGTCCTGGGCACAGTCTGAGGAGGACAGAAGAGGCACCGCCAGAGCGGGGTGGGGTGGCCTGAAGGAGCAGCCTGGGCAGCCTGGTGCAGCTCAGCCACACAGCACAGCGCTCCTGACCTCCCGTCACACAGCTGCCTTCCTGAAGCATCCACCTTCTGACATTACTCTGACACATTCCCATCTGCCTTCAAATTTTCTTGGTATCTCTTTTTTAGCACTCCATCATCTTCCTCAAACCACAGCTGGCGAAGAAGACATAAAGTTATTATCATCTAGTGGTTTGCTCCCTGCATTAGTTGGAAAAGTGCTTTCCTGTCCTTTGAGATTAGTCCACCAAGCTATTTTCTTTCCTGGGGCATCAAAAGAACGGTTCAACTGTAAAAACGAAAGCCACACTGCTATTCCTACTTCAATTTGCAGGGAATAGGGTGAACAAGAGAAATGGCATGCAATTTAAATAGAAAATCAAAAAGAGCCAAGAGGCTGGTGATTTATTAAACAGCAAAGGAAAGATAAGAAAGTAATAACAACTTTTGAGCTGCCAGAACACATTATTTATAAAGACATCAGAATAAAAATACTAATTTAACCTTTTATTTTCCATGTTCTTGAAAGGTACTCACACAAAGTTAAGAAACGCCCGGGAAGAAAGACATTTATCCTAATTCTAAAGATCAGATTGGAAGTTTATGTTCATTATTATTCTGTGGAGAAATAATATTAAATGGATAGTGATCACACGAAGAAAGACATCAGAGCTTTGGGAGAAAGATTCTGAGCCATTATCGAGTGGAGCCTCCTTTGCTGAAGGGACTGACTTTCAGTCTTTTAATGATCAGGGAGCACCATTTATACACCAGGGAATTGAGCAGACCGCAAAGCAGGCAATGCGAATGTCAGTCACGATTTACTTTTCAAAATAACTGAAGATGCAAGAACTAGTCAAGTTAAGGGAAACTATCAATTGGATAGATCATAGTAGTTTGATCAAATAAAATTTCTAATTGTCTTCAACAGATTCTGAAAAGGCTTTTTGACAAAAATCCAACAATGCCTTCCTTAAAATTTTGGCTCTTTTTTCACAACAGGGCAAAAATTAAAGAGGAGAATGGTTAATTCATCCGAGATACCAAAAAAAATAAAATCTACAGAAATGGCAAAACTTAAAAATGGGGAAAAAGCAACTCTTTGATACGAAGCACATAAACTTGCTGGACAACTCTATATCTGGTGTGAATAGAACTGTAAAATTAGGTCTACATGATGAGGAAGAGAACCAAAAAGAAATAAAGAGAAAATACTTAAGAGATTTATTTGACTGATAGAGAAGATGAAAAAAAAATGATATCTATTAAATTAAAATATCATTTCTGTAATAAGTTTTATCAAAGAAGACCAAACAGAGTTAGAAGAGAAAGCATGAGGATAGCAAAGAAACACTAATTCAGCCGAAGAACTGAACTGACTTTCTAACACCCCAGATGCCACCTGAAAACCCTGGCTGGGGTGGAAAGAGGAGGTGACATGCCAGCTGGCTTCTCCTTCCCCAACCAGGCCTGGAGAAAATGCTGCTGGGGAACCTCCAACCAGCCCAACAGGTTATTCCTCTCAGGCCAGCCCTTCCACCCTCCCCCTCTGCAACGCTCCATGTTCAGGCCGGTTTCACCTGCTGCATAAACACTACACACTGAGCGGCCAATCCTTCCTCCAAGGCAGGATGGGAAAGTGAGCAACCAGACCCGTAACAGGGCACAAAGAGGGACTTTAACGCATGCGCTGCTTTAGCGCTCAAGCCCCGCCACCTGTACCTGTTGAAGCATCTCCTCTGCAGCATTGAGTTTCACCTGGTGTCCCTCCAGACACACCTCTAGATCCCGAATCTTCTCTCCTTGGGCTTCCACTTGATCAGTGAGGACACTCACCTGTCCCAGGAAATAAAACAACAGTGAAAATAAGAGATTTGTACATGGGGTGGAAAGGCTTCCCCCCTAAGAAAGCCATTAAGCCACACACTCTTGAGTCTCATCTAAAAAGAATGGCTGTCCCTTTTGGTGGGCAGCGGGGAGGGAAGTGTCCTGATGACGGGAACCCCAGTGGTTTCCTTACCTGGCCAGGGCGTTCTTGCCACTGCCTGGATGGTGTGGGTCAGGTTTCCTGGTCCTGACAGACCCAAGAGAAAGCCACCAGCAGCCACGAGAGCTGCCCCTGGGCTGGACTCTTGCTCCTACTCCTCCTAACAAGCTCACTCGGCAGTCCCCACCTCAAGGCATAGCTGAGCTGGCTTGCCAGGACGTCTGCCACCTCATGTGAAGGAGCAGTACAAACTTCTGTGGAAACGAACCAATGACCTTTCCTCTCTCATAAGGGTGTGAGGACAGCTCACCTATCAGGTGAGGGTTCTGAAGCAATTAAGGAATGTGGGATGTAAAGAGCATGTATTAGCACTGACAAAACTTGGCTCAGAAAGGGTTTTGTGCTTCACAGGCCAAAACATGACTCTAAGTCATAAATATACACAAGCCACATTGCAAATACGGGGGCAGGAGAGAAGTCATTCTGAAGAACACTGAACACGTCTGTTGGAATTATTAATAACAAACCACTGACAATACGCACGTAAATCGCACCCTATTTAGTTATGGGAGGATCTCACAGCTTACCCTGTTAGCGGATTGACCGTGAGTCCTTTCTTTCTCGTTATGAAGAGGTATCTTAAAACAGAAAGACGGCAAAAGAAATGGGATGGTCTTTCCCCAAGTAAAGAAATCAATGACTGGTAAGTGGAGATCCTTTTAGACCCTCTGGTTTTTAACCTGTAGTCCAGTCATTGCTCTTTACATACAGATTACCCCGAATTTTTTCTCAAATTGCAGAGGAATAGCCAGAGCATGAAAGAATTAATGTGAACTCATTTACGAGCGTGTAAATAAAGTTTAATTATAAAGGTCCCTTTTACAAAGGAACTAATCTATATTAACATGGTTATATTAAACTTTCCATTGGTACATTGCCAAATGAATTATGCGCAGTTGAGACATATTTCTGGAGCTGATGCTTGGGGTACAAACATTTCATTTATAGTCTCCACATGGGAACTTGTCAGCAGTATAGCCCACCTTAACATTTCTTACCCCTCAGGCCCTGGCTTTTTCAGCTACTAGCTCTACTTCTATAGGCAGACACAGGGGCTGGCCTTAGTTTCCTGGACTTCATCGTCTCTCATTTGTGTGGGATGTTTTAGGGTTAAATTTTCTCTTGAGGACAAACACTCATTGTCTGCATGGACACAGTAGAAGAATGTATCATCCTGGAGACCCCATAGCCCACAGCTCAGTTGCACAACACACTCAAGATGCACCTCAATAATCTCTCTACATATTATAAATGGAAAAGTGTCGAAAACTGGGACAAAATCTATGAAGATCCTAGAATGTGATCTTAATTCACTAGAAAAAATTTTTTGAAATCCCTACAATGTACTAGCAGACCTTTAGGCATTAGAAGGAGAGGATACAAAAGAAAAGAAAAACCAAACATGAAAATCTTTGTCTTAAGTTACATCCTAATAAGCATAAGAAATTTTGGTTTTACTTGCCTTAAATGCGGGAAATAACATATTTTATTAGGTGTGATGTGCCGTATTGCTCTATAAGCTGGCCCAGGAACACATTCTAAGGGTTCCAATTACCTGGAGCTGGCTGGGCTGCTGTGTGAATTAACAAGCTCTACAGTGGGGGTTCTGTATGACCAGCTTCACCATCTCTAAGCAAGGATACAGCAGTGGTCCACAGATTGCTGGTGGAATAAAAACTACTGAAGTCCACTTCTGACTCTTCTGATAAACACAGTTCCCAGCCGTGTTAGGATTATCAAAATAAGGATTTTTCGAGAATTCAGAATTTAAAAAACAAATATGAACTACCAGGAGAGCATTATCACACAGGACTTCTTTATTAAAATGTAATCCTTCCAAATAGGGAGGTGTGATTTTGGCCAGGAGTTTCCTGGTTCAAAAGTTTGCAAATTTCATAATGTTTGCTATGAAATTCTAAGTTGGACATTCTTTCATGAATCATATCATGAGGATGGAGTTTCACATGACACATCCTTGAACTTGAGATCATTATGCTAAGTGAAGTCAGCCAGAAAGTGAAAGACAGTTCTCTCATCTGTCGGAATATAAATACCCAAACAAATCATGGCAAATATAATATGTTGGTTCGCAGACGCGATAGGGAGGAGGAAAGGGCCAGGAGGACCAATCACCCAGAGGGAATGGTGCTGCAGCGTTGGTGGTAGGTGAGGCGAGGTTTATACACAGAAAGGTGTGAAGCTGTACTCCTGGAGTTTATAGAGCATCGTAAATCAATAAAACGTTTATTTATACAAATTATACATCCCTCAAAACAGTTGCACTGAGGTGTGCTTGAAGAGCTGGCCCCTGCTACCTCTTGAAAGCCAGTTTCCACCAGGTTTCCTCTGGCACCAGCTGCAGTCACAACACCCCTCGAGGTCCTTCCTTCCCGCGCACCCCCACACCCACCCTGGGCATCGCTGGACCAAACGCCTCCGCCACGTGTTTGTCCACACGACTCTCGTCTTCCTTCACATCTCCCATCAGGGGGTCTTTCTGACCACACAATTCTTATGCTATTTTATGTTTCTCCATAGTATTTATCACTACCTGAAACATTTTATTTACTGTTTGTACATGGCACACTGGAAAAGAAGCTCTAGAACTGGGACTTAGTTTTCTTCGATGCTGCATCACCTTTAACTAAAACCAATGTCCACCAAGTCTTGAGCATATAAATGTTTTTGTTTTTATGAATAGCTCAGTGAAGTGACGAAACACCCAAAGCTGGGATACAAAATTCCACTAATTGTATACTTGTTCTGTTTCCAATTATTTAAACAGGGGCAGGACAAGGGAAGACAAAGGCCCAATATTAAAGTAGAAACATTCTTTACATATCTTTGACTTTCGAAAGTTTATAAAATATTTATCACTCATATTCACAAATAAAGTGAAATGAACAAAATATAATAAAGGGAAGAAACAGACGGCAGCCTCTCATTCTAGCATTCCAACTTAAAAACTTCCAGTCCAGAGAACATTCCAGAATCCCACATACCCTGTCCCCTATTTTACTGCCCATCTGTACACCACCCTTTAAGCTTTTTAAGGAGCTATGGTTGGGATTTTAATCTTTAGTCACCAAAGTGTCCAGCAGCCTATCTTCTGCATACAGGGCCTTGTGTGAGCTTCAGCACTGGAGAGCTGACTCAGCAAAGGGCCCCTGCCTCAGCAATAGACCTCCCGTAAGAATGTCCGACTTTATGGAGGGCAAATTTTCAGAGGTGAAACAGCTCTTTTGACTACCCTTATAAAAATTTTTGGCATTCTCCTTAAAGCAGGAGAGTCATCAAAGGTTTATCAGCCCACATGACTAGCCCCTGGGGGGTGGGCCTCAAAGTGATTAGTCTAGATCAGCTGCAGATGATTTGGGCCTGGTCCTGTTAGCCTTCTCATTTAGGGTCACGACACTCTGTCTCATTAGTTCCAGGCTCCCTTGCAAGGCTCCCAAGTTCCTAGAGGTTAGGACCCAACCAGTCCTCCTGGCCACAGAGCATCCAGGGTATGGCAGTACATGATAAATAAGTGAATGCTTTCACAGCCCCCAAAACCAAAGCCAGAGTTAAATTGTGTCCCCAGTTACTTCCTGCTTTGTTTTGGGAAAAGTCTTTTTAACAACATACACTTTGGAAGTAGGATAAATCCAACAGAGAAAACCCCTTGTACTCCCTAGGGCAGCTCTGGAGTTGCAGGTGTTAGGATAAGTTGGTTCCCATCCGAAGGACCCACCTGCAATATGAGGGACTCCTTATCTCCTTCTAGACGTGCCAAGCGTTCCTGGTAGGTTTCATTACTAGCAGCACTGTGGTGATTTACCTGGGACTAAATGGAAGGAAAAAGGGAAAAGAATTGGTTGGACAAACATCTTACCAACTTCTAAATGAAACATATAATTTGTAAAGACAGTTTCACTTGTTATATGTGTAAAACCACCCACCAAAACAGGAAGCCACAGGATTTCAAAACTACTACAAGAAGGAGCAGACCAGATGCCATGGATAGGTGTGCCTTGAAAGTTGGCAAAACTACCCCCTGGGTGACCTCACACTTGGCTGGGATGCATCAGTGGCGCTCTGAACCCAGTGGTACTTGAATCACTGCACATGTCGGGTCTGGTTTAGCTGTAGGTATGGCGTGCCCCAGGCACCAACAGCAATAAGGGTCTACTCTTGAGGGGTTGGGGAAGACAGTCCATGCTCCAAGAAATGGCATGTGAACAACTCCTGAACAGATCCTGGATCTCCAAATGCTCATGTCAGGGCTCTCTTTTCACAGTCTGGAGACTCATCCTGAACAGCACAGGAACATGAAGGATGGGGCCAGCAACTCTAAGGCCCTCATCTACTTCTACTCACATGTCCCTTCTAAAAGTGGCCACTGCCAACTCTTCACGTGGGCTTGGCAGCCAGGGCTCACCATCTTGTTGCTGCTATGCTGGAGCTAAGAAATGCAAGCCGAGGTGAAACCTCTTGAGAAGAACCCAAATGACAATCAGAGTGGTCTCAAAGGACTAAGTAAGTAGAGGGGAAACACAGAAAATAGAAAGTAGTCAGAAACCATAGAAAACAGGAAAAGCAGATGATTTTTAAATGGCAGGTGGCAGAATCTTATAAAGTGCCCTGAGCTAGAGACAGGAGCTGCAGTCACTTTCTGGGTGTGTCTGGCCTGGGTGTAGACAGAGAGGAGGGACGTAGCTGCTGATGGCCTGATGCCAGCAACACTCCCTCCATGCTGACAGAAGGTAGAAATCAGAGGCCCCCCATAGGCCATCCAGGAACCTGGCAGCAGTCCCCGGCACTTGAAAATATAGACCTTGTTGTTGAATGGGAAAGTGGCAAGCATAATAATCTGGGCCAGTTCAGAGGGTTCAGGGCTCCATACTCTGGTGGCAGGTCCCCTTCGTCCCAAATGAAAGCCATGGTTTTGCAAAGGGAGCCTCAGAGGGACCCAGGCACAAGAGTTAGATGGGTTAGATGGTGCCCTCCTGAGCCTGTTTCTCCACATGCCTAACTGGCTTTCCCACCCCCTGCCATAAACCAAGGGCACCTCCTTTCTTCTCTTGTCACCCACCCCTCCCCCAGTGTACTGCTATAGCAGAGCCAGGTGTGGTTCTACAACAGAAACAGGCACATGAAACAGAAAATGAGTATTCTTCATTCAAGCCTGAATTTTCATTTGTGAGAGACGCACTGGGCATTTGTGGAAGGTACGGCGGGTGGACAAGTCCAAGGGCAGTGCCCGGGGCAGCTGTGCTGGGCACAGGCTGGACGGGACACTTCCCAGCTGCCACACCACTGCTTCCCACTCCAGCCTCTCTCCAGTCTGCATCTTGTTCATTGTTATGGAAGTGCGTTCATACCACAGACAAAGAACGCTGACAATCATAAATGGCTTCTCTGTGTTGATGACAGTTATTGTTGCTACATTAATTAATAGTCTGGTCCTCACATGGTCAAACTGACTAGTATCCAAGGACATAATTATAACCTACATTTTCTCAGAACCTGACATGAAAAGAGAGGCAAACACTTCTCAATAACAATTCACATGCTTCTCTGTCAGAGAACTACATATTGGTGACTTCTCTCCCAGGGACTAGGGAGAAGAGAGAAGGTACCCAAGTGAGGCTGCTTGTGTCTGATTCCAGTGTCTGTCATGTGGGGTCCCCCGCCCTCCGCACTGGGTATTCCTACCTCCCCCCACCTTGCGCTGGTGCCTGTGGCTCATGCAGCAGGAGGAGAAGGAGAGAAGACCAAAGGGCAGACTCCTTCATGAAACCCCAGAGACCCCACAGCCAGTGCATGGTGCCACGGATGAAGTAAACTTGCTCCTCATTACAGCAAACCACCTGCCCCACAGCCACGCAGAGAGGCAACTAAGTCATCAACTAGTTGACAGGAAAAAAGGAAAAGTAAGAACACTGATGCCACAGGTTCAGTTAAAACATAAAATGCAGACCACAGTGTTTATAAAACCTGCAAGAAGTAGATCGAAATATGGGGGCCCACGCTAGCAGCCCCTGGAAGAGCAGGGGAAGACACAAATTTAAGCAGGAGAAAGTCAAGCAGATGTCTTAGGAGAAATACAGCTATTCCTGAGAAAGGAGCACTTTCTCTTAGTTTTTGAAAAGAGACTACATGACGACATAAACAGCATCCACAATGACATCCTCAGTTAGCGGCGCCTAGAACGCACCGCTCTCCTGTGACGCCCTCCAAATGAGTGAAAGTCGTGGGTAATGTGTAAAGGTCAATGTGATTCTATGAAAACCAACCGTGAGGTTTATGACTTGAGCAGAGAAGTATGATCCCTGAGCAAGCGCTGACATGCGCCAGCCTCTGTGGCAAGCACTTCACAGGCTTCACTCACTGAATCCTCCCACAGCCCTGTGAAACATCACCACACTTATCCCCATTTAATAGAGAAAGGAACTGAAGCACAAAGCTGTGAAACAGGTGCAAATGGATACTTTGCTTTAGTTACCACATAAATTGGCAAACTTTTTGTAACAGCTTAGTTTTGAAGCTAGAGTATAAATTTATTCACCCCAAATCACTGTTCTAGAGTAAAGAGGCATCTTTTCCCCTCATACAGTCGCAACAAATCTCTGCTACTCTGAGTTCAGAAGATGTTAATCTACACTGCTGCTGGTGAAGTTCAGAGACACGTTTCTGTAAAGTCAATAGGATCAACACCTTCTTAAGACAACTACTATCTCTTAGAAGGTCGCAAAACAGGATAAAATGCCACCTCCACTTGGAGAAGAACCTGGAAACCACCTGAGAGCAGGGCTGAGAAGAAGATAATTTGGGAATTATCTTGTCAAATGCCAAAATTCATCAGCCAAAGGTGATGATCTGAGTTCAGTGGATAAATCTATACTCCTAATTCCAGCAACAGGTTCAATCACTTCCTGATGTCATTCTTGGTTATAATGGTTGTATCATGCGGCACAAGAGGCCCTCAGAAAAACATTTTAAAAGACAGGGTTGGGACGCAGCTCTGCTTTGCCTCCCTTTCAAGAAAACTTCCTCTGTCAGAGGACACAGCATATAACTGCTCCCTTTATTCTAACAGCGGAGTTGTGGTAGAAGGCTTAGATCAGTGCTGGGGTCACACAGCTGGACCCCAGAGCGATCCAGGTTGGGGGCTCTGAAGTCTGCATTCTCTACAGTTCTGCTGTGGAACTCTCCAGGCGTGAGGTCAGACTGAGGAAAGCCAAATCAAACTTGAGAGGTTGATAGTTGCCAATTTTCTATTCCTCTCCACTCTGGTGGGTATCACCCCACCAATGAACATAAATACAATTTTTACGCAACCAATGATGTTAGATCCTAGGTCAGATCTGTCCAAAGGACTACTGATGAACTTACATATACAGATGTTTGGTCAAATTTTCTCCTCTTCTGTTTCAAAGGTTATTTCTACAAAAGTAACAGGAAAAAAATATATCTTCTTGTGATCCTGATCCTATAATTCAGGTTTGTGACCTACAGGTATGGTTCAGGAGGAACCAAGAAATTACAACTACAGGGTGACATTTTCATGTTTTTTTGTTTGTTTTGTTTTGCATCTCAACTGAAGAATGTCCCAGTAAAATGACTCTCTCTCCTGTATCACAGTACCGAGTCCACACAGGGACTTCTTATACACATAGGGTTAATAACTAGACAACTTAGCCAAGATGATGGAAGCTAAAACACATTTGTCTCTATTAAAGCTTTGCTTTCAGAATCTTGGGCAAAGTGTTGGACACAAAGAATCTATCCTCCAAAACCATCTGTTGGAGGTAAACAGAACACCGCCCAGAACTGCTAGATCACTGTCTTCCCCAAACCTTGAGAAAGATGTGTTGAGAGTCCTCTTATAATTCATGGGTTTGTTCCTGGAAGACACAAAAAGCTGTCACCCCTGGGGCTGGGTAGGCCTAATAATCACCACAGCAATCACCAGCCTAAGGTGGGCCTATCTTCTAAACCATTGCTATGTGACAAAAGGGGTGAAGGAAGGGGTTTCTGGATGACAGAGCAGCCATGAGGGTGTTCTGTGATTGGAGGGGGTCATGAGCTGATTGTGGTACCTAACTAGCCTCAACGATTTAGCAGAACTGTGAGGGGATGGAGAAGTCGGTGTGCCCAGGAAAGGTAGGAAATATTCTAGCACAGACTGACTTTCTACATAAAGCACCCCTTGGGATAGCCAAGTGCACCCACCTAATCTAAACTAAATCAATCCTGCCCCTACTTCTCCCAAATATCAGTGAATAAGGCTTCCGGCAATTCCTCAGGTACAAAGAGCCAGACGCCAGCAGACTCAAGAAATCAAATAAGATGTCATATTTTTGGAGACAGTGAATTTTAACCAGGGATGAGATTATCAGGGGATATTTAAGGCTCAAGAAAGAAAACTTTATGGGGCCCCCCTGTTGACTCAAGGGGGTATATACCAGCATTATGAAGCTACCTGCAGCCACTGCAGCACAAGTTAGATCCCTACCTGGTCAGGGAACTGACACACAGGGCGCAGCAGACTCTTGTCTGGCCCGCTGCTCCCCTCACCAGTGTATTTCAGTAGATCTGCCTATTCTGCTCCCCACTCTATCTCTGGTGAATCTTCTCACTCCCCCACCTCCCACACCACTGGCCTTTACCCCAGTTCTTGTATGCATAAATAAATAATTTTTTTTAAAAGAAAACATGTCATTAATTGTAGGATGCCCCAAACTAGTCAATCGTCCCCTTGCCCTCTTGCTAAGTTAAAGGAATAAAGAAACCAATGGAGATAGAATTCTTTCAATCCCGACCTTAATGGATTTTCGTCTG